TTTTTTTTAATTCCCCCCTAGTTTCAACAAATGGTTACAGTTTTGAGATAATTTGAAGTTAAACGGTTGGAGGATAATCAAAAATGTTTAGTCAGTATTCATTCCATGTCCCTTCTTTCACGCAGCTGTCTTCACACAAAATATGTGATCACTCCCAAGCAGGCCCGATCAGCATGTTTGTGTCAGTGTTTCGCTTCTGTCAGAACAGCATTTGTTCATTGTTGAAACGCTCTACTAACATCCGCACTGACACCAAGTGGGACCAACTGCTTATTAGTGGCATCAGAACATGCGTTAAGGAGCAAGATGGCAGACGAGGTGAAAATGTTGAGCCGAGTTGATCTTTTGAACAAAGGCGTGGAGTGCTCTGTTGTGCTTTCAGACAGATGTATATCTAGTAGATGTAAGCAGGCACATTATACTGTAATAAGCCACTACACACCAGGATTCTTCCTTTTTTTTTTTTCCTTTTTTTCTTCTTCTTTTTTTCTGTGTTCTTGTGCTCCTTATCACCATTATTGAATTTTAAAACAAACAACCATCGTGTGTCTCTGTTCATTAGCTTAACATTACATGCAGTAATCGATGTATTCAGTTGTGTGAAGGTGTCAATATTATGTGATGCTAGTGTGTCATCCTCCCACCTGTTTTTCCCCCTGCCTGCCCTACTGAACGACCAGACTCGTTTCTATCGACATTCACATCCAATGGACCAATGGCGTGGGGTCAGCAGCGGGGAAACGGTCGCTGCTGTGTTGGAGTACTGTGCCGTTTGTGGTGTTAATATTGTTCTTTAAGCACTTGGTGTGTCAAATAGTGGAGAAAAATAAACTAAAACCTTAAAACATCAGATGCTTTTATGTGATGGAATTTTCTACACCTGTCCTGATACTGGCGATGACAGAGTTATGCATGTTAGTCAAATATTGCTACTTTATTATTTAGAATCTTTACTGCCTCTACATTTTAGAGATAAATGTTGAGTATTTAATTATATTTAGTTGGCTGATATCATTACATTTACACAATCAGCTTATTGAAATTAAATGGCCAACACTAATCTGCATATTTAAACTTTATTTTCAGTTTCCTGGAGGTCTATATATGCCTACATGCACGCCCTTTCTGAGTCAAAGTCATGTGTTTTGCACTCAATCTTGCAGATTGGATATACAGTTGCATGGAAGCAGCTCAGGGTGTGTAGGCATGACCTGCTGAAGTTAAAGCTAAAGGTCAGAATGTAGCACGTAGAATATTACTTTGGTCAGGGTTTACGGAAACTGGTCCAAAAAAAGGAAAAAATATCCAGTGAGCAGTATTAATCTGGATGATAATGCTTTGATGGCAGAGGTGACTGGCCAGACTGCTTTGAGCTGATATAAAGGCAGCAGTAACTCAAATAACCACTCAATAGCCAAGATATGCAGAAGAGCATCTCTGAATGCACTACACATCCTGTGGCTTGAAGGAGATGTGCTACAGCAGCAGAAGACCACACCAGCTAAAATTTCTTTCAGTGGACAGTGAGTCTGTGTGAATTTATAAAGCCCTTTTAAAAACAACTACAGGGTTGAACAATAACACCAAATGTAAAAGACAAACTCAGGCCAAAAGGTAAAAAATATGGAAACTCCCTCCACAATTTTGCAACTTCAAAAGCCCCGTCACCTCTGAGTTTACGTTGTGTCTTCGGAACCAGCAAAAGTCTCTGGTCTGCTGACCTGAGAATGAGGTGGGACATAAGAGTGCAACAGCTCAGACAGATAAAATGATGCAGAATCATTAAGAGACTTAAAGACAAAAGGATTTTTAAAATGGATTTGTAAACTAACTGGAAGCTAAAATTGGAGTGATGTGCTCTTGCGTCCTTGCACCAGAAAGAAATCGAGCGGCGGTGTTTTGCACCCGCTGTAGGTGAGCAACTGGCCTGGCCAATTCCAATAAAAAGTGCATTGCAGTAATTGACACAAGAGGTTTTAAAACAGAAGTATTAATGTTTCAAGGTTGGACTAGAGTGGCTTGATCTTTGGCAGTCATCTCAACTGGAAAAAGCAGGCTTTTGCTACAGTGTTCACATAAGCTTTGAGCTTTAGAGAAGGATCCATTTTCACTCCTATATTAGTGATAATGGATTTCTCATATGGGGCCAATGAGGAAAAGTCAATACAGGGGTTGCTGCTGGTGCCGCTGAGTCTAAACAACATGACTTCTATCTTGTTCTCATTAAAATTCAAGTGATTTATCACCATCCATCTCCTGATGTCGATAAGGCCGTCATGGAGAGGCTGGACAGAGCATTCAGTCGTGTGCTAACATGAGGTCTAAAGTGTACCTTATGTTGGGTCCAAGATGTGTATCACCATTTTCACTAGCATTACTGATGCTACCAGTTTCTTAAAATTATTTAGATGAAATAAGCACTTTATGAAAGGGTATCTGTGGTGTCCAGTAGAGTCCAAGGGTCACCACACAAATCACCCAAATTTAACAAAGCTTAGTAATGAGGTCATCTGTTTAACACCAGGACCAGCTGGACAAATCAGAGCAGGGTAAATACATAACTGAGAGAGCAGCTGTTTCCTCCCTTATTGCCTATTCTGGGTGTCCTCGAGCACCCTGGCTAACCTCCATATATCATCCCAGGGTTAACAGATCATATTTGGGTTTTACTGGACAGCTTGAGGAAGATGGCAGTGATGCAGGTGGATGTCCCTCTAGTGTCCTTACCTGACAGAACGACCACAATATGTGCATCTTCCGTGTCTGACAAGTGCTCATCAACACCAGGGCACCACAAGGAACTGTCCTCTGGCTATTCAGCCTCTACGCCACGGACTTCAGCCACTGCACAGAGACCTGGTATCTTCATCAGTTTTATAATGAGTCTGTGGTGGTTGGATGCGATAGCGAGAGTGATGAGATAGAGTACAGGGCTGTGGTGGACTTGTTTTTCCACATGTTGCGGGCATGCTGCTGGGGCAGCAGACTAAGGATCATCTGTGTTAATCGTGTAAATAACACTAAGCACACTCACTTTTGTTGGTTGCTCAAGGAATTTATGCATTCACAAAGATGAATTGAGCCTGTCGTAATTAAAGCTACCACAGATGGCGCTGAATGTCCACATTTATCACAGTGTGTTTGTGCGTTTAATTCTTTTACAGGTTGCGCCGACGGTCATTCTCACTCCTGCAATCCTTTGCACAACAACGTACAGCCCTAACACTTTTTTAGAACTATACGGGCAGACAGGTGTATATGCAAATATTTGATCCTATTTAATTTAATGTAAGCTATCTGTATGGACCACGGTTCTGTTTTCGTCCTCACGTGAAGAACCGCTTAGATACGTTTAAAAATTGGTCATGTGACCGGTGCTGCTGGCT